ATGCATAATCGGAAGGTCCCGGGTTCAAGTCCCGGTCTGGACTATCCATTTTTTCAGTAATTTTTCTCGCAAAAATTATATGGAGAATTATCCTGTTCCCCTTCCTACCTCATCCAAATCCCCTCCAACGACTCCTTTGACGTCACAAAGATGTGGAACGCTATATAAACTTCATCTTAGAAGGGAAGTTTATATAGCGTTCCACATCTTTGTGACGTCAAAGGAGTCGTTGGAGGGGATTGATTTTACAAAGCTATGTGCGTATGGCTTTTGCCATACGTGTATGGCTTTTGCCATGCGTGTACAGCTTTTGCCATACGTGTATGGCAAGAAAGGGCTCAAACATATGGTAAACGTTACCTTGGGCGTATGGCAATTGCCATATACAGTGTCTGTAGACACTGCCCTTTTTTTGACGATTCAAGAAAATTGTAACCTAAAGATGTATTTAGTAAATTCATTAATTTTCCTACATAATGATCTCCGACCCTGCTCATGTTTCTTCCATTTCAGTGTGTCATTTCAGGAAGCCTCTGCTTAAAAAATGGAATGTCTTTTTGCTTCTGAATGGAAGCTTTGTAATCGTTGAATTTTGACTTTTTGTAATTTTCATTGAAAATGATGCAGAATGGTCTGAAACGTAAAAATACGAAGTTTGGCGACCATGTCTGGATTTTTGGAAATTAAATTTCAGAAAATACAACAATAAGAGAAAAAAAAATCAAAAAAATATGAAATTTTGTCAAATTATAGATCCTACTTTGGACTAACTCTGGTCGTAGAATCGGCTCGATCAGTCCAATAGTTCCGGAGAAAAAGCCTTTTCTTTTTTACACGTTTTTTGTAAATATTTGGAAAACTAGTTAGCCGATTGAACTATTTTTTCTTTTAAAATGCCCGTCTCGATAGCCCCTGTCTAGATCAATGAAAATCTATATAGCCGTCGGTACAAAGTTTTCAAGATATTTCCGCATTTCTGTTGTTTTCCAAAACATCATTGTACGCGCTCCAGCTTCCGCAAAAATGGACATATCAACTTGAAATTTCGGAAAAATTTTCATTCTTTGACAGCGACGGTTCTAATTTCATTTGGGCTCAGTCAGCCCAGTAGTTCCGGAGATATTCGATTTTTTATATCTATAAAAAGATATATATTTTATATCTTGAAAAGAAGTGGGCCAATTTAACTCCTTTTTGCTTCCGAATGGAAGCATTGTAATTGATCTATTTTTCGAGTTCTTAATTTCGCTTCAAAACGATGTAAAACGGTTTATAACGTAAAAGTAAGAAGTTTGATCACCCCGTGTGTATGTGCGGATGTCCATCTGGTGGTCAAAATCTAGCTCAAAAAATCCAGAGAAATTCGTCATTTCGTCAAATGATAGTTATTAATGACGACTGTGTGCCAAATTTCAGCCCAATCAATCCAGCCATTTTTGAGAAATTCTCATTCGTTTCTAGATCTAATTTCTGGAATATCCCAAAAACTATCCAACCGATATGATTCTTTTACCTCTCAACGTATTTGTCTTGATGTCAGCTATAAGGATCATTAAAAATATATATACCGGTTAGTTCCAATTTTCCAAGATATTTCAATTTTCCTGTTTTTTTACCAAAACTGCTCTATAAAATAATGCTCTATAGTATAAAATGATCTATGTCGAGTACAATGAGACTAACATGTCCCAAAAAAATGAAATTGGTTTCATAGTATGAAATATTTGCGACAAAACAATTTCATAATTGGACTTATTTATTCATCAAAAACTATTTTAATTTTCGCATCAATTGAAATTTAATGATTTTTTAAAAATCGTTATAGAAAATTTATTCAAGCGAATCTCAATAATAACTTAATAAATGATAATTGATAATTAATTATAGATAAATTAATCATCACTTATCATTATTTAGCATTTATTATTAACCTATCTTCCTTGCTTGAAAAAGTAAGGGAGAGAGAAAGAGAGGTAGGGATGGACAGAGACAGGTCAACTGGCGAAAAGAGATTCACAGGCCTTTCCATCATTTTCGGGTTCACAAATATCCAATGTTGTCATTCCGCGCACAAACACAGCGTAAATGTGACGTTACAGTAGCTGGCAACGCATGAGATATATATAGATATAGTGGATTCCCAGAGTAGTGGTTGTCAGCGCGGAGATATATTGAGGGATGGAATCGGAAAATCGCGTCTACCTTCTAAAATATAAGGGATGGATGAAAATGTTTTCGATAAAATTTGTTTCATATTTAAGAATAAAAATTATGGAAGAAAAAAAAATTTTTTTCATCCATTAGATTAGAAGTTACCCTTCCTATTTCATAGTAATTCTTTGAATTAAATTATATTGCTATGAAAATATAATGACTCAGATTTTTTAATATTTTTTACCATTATTTGAAATTGAAAAATGAAATTTTTTCCATTTTTTATCAATTTTTTTCTCCTATCGTACATTTGAACGGCTGTAAAGGTTGGACGGTACAAAATAGGGATGAAGGGCTTGATATGTTTTTTATCGGAAATATTTTGCCCTTCAAATTATATTCGACCTTTTTTTCTGTATCTAGTGTACTTTGCAAGTTAATTGCGAAAAACCATTTTCGAGGGTAGTTTTTAATTTTTTTCTCGGATCGCACAAGCTTTGATCACTTAAAATTACTTGCCCGTTAATCACACGATCAAAACACACATTTCTACATAAAAACCGTCTTGGCTTTATGAAGCACATATGTTAGACCTAATTTGCCTGGACTAATAAGATATACTACTGCCAAATATATTTTCTTGTGGTTAGTAAATATTCTTGGCAAAAGATTTTTTTTTCTCTGTGCATAAGTGACAAATTTTTCCGATAAATTTTTAACAATGTGATGTTGTGGAGAGGGGCGGGGGATTCATGGAAGTGATACGAGTAAAAAATATACAAAGAATGTAAGGCAGATATATAGGAGAAAATGATTCCTAATCGGAGAGGGTCCGCTAATGATTATTTTGTAAGAAAGGTGATATTAAACTTAATAACAACCATGGAGATATACTTGACATCTGATCGATTTCATTGAAGTCTTGTCTCAAATAATTATTATCCAATTTTCATACAATTCCGATTCTATTTGCGTACTATATAGCTTTGTTCCCTTCTTCATTATGAGTATGATGTGTATCCCTTTTTTTTTAGCACAAAAACGATTTTTCTACGCACATATCAACTTATAACGTTTTTATTCAGAGCTTTC